TTCGGATATTTAATTTATGAAAAACTGCTCGATTTGGTTCGAGTTCGATTCGATCCGATTCGGGACTTTCGGACACCCCTAATAAAGATCATGAAAATTGCCTTTTAATCCGTACATGGGGAAAATGCAAGAATTCAAACATAAATATTATAATGCTTTTATTGTCTGTATTTCATCATCTTCTTCTTTCTTCCATCCCTTACTGGGAAAGTCCATATTTGAGTCTTTTAATAGTGACAATATCAGTCTTGAAAGACGCAGCCAAGACTGGATCATAGATACTCGTATTGAAAACAGCACTTGGTATAGAAACTGTTCCTGCACTTGCACTGCCAAATGCAGAAACTGCGACGGCCGGAGTTTTTTCATCCCTGTTGTACTGAAAATGCATGAGCCCTTTAGGGAAGACAAAAATGTCACCTTCTTGAAGTGTTTGGTTAAAGAGTTTGTTAGTTGTGTTAACGAATCCCACTTCGAGAGAGCCTGCGAGGAGGAAAAGAAGCTCGGAAGCCCGGGGGTGGGTGTGGGGTGGGTTGACAGTGCCAGGGGGGTACATTAGAACTGCAAATGAAACACTTTGCCCATTCAAAGCAGGGAATTCAGCCATGCTAGCTTTGAAAACTTTAAAATCTGGCGGCATGTTCGGGTCGGTGATGGCACGCAACCCGGTGTAGGTGAAGAAACTGCCGTCCAGTGGCATGGTGGTGTTTGATGGTGGTATGAAATCTGATAGTATGTCTGCATCCCCAGCCAGTGTTACTTGAAGGGTAACAAGTGAAACTGCTAGGAAAAACAAAATGAAACGCAGAAGGGCCATTTTGTACAAGAGAATTATCAATTATGTGCTTCTGCTATGTTGTTTTTGCTAGGGCTAGAGAAGAATTTATAGAGCATTAAGGCAATGACATAATAGTGGAAAAATGTGAACTTTTTTGTTAAAAGACAGGCATTAGAATCTAAAATTGTGTGGAATATGTAATAAAGTTTCCTCACCAGCTCATCTGGTGAAGAAAACTATAGCATGCACTCAATAATCTCGAGAAGCACGTGGAGAAAAATTTTCTATTGGATTTGTTGCTTCGACACTACCGCCACCACTGGAAATTGATTTCGGTCTTCCCGTAAGATTGTATCTAGACACATTATAGAAGTTGAAATATCGAAATTACTTTTGAACTTTTTCAAATGTTTTTAAATTATCATTGAATTTTAAAATGTCTCCGAGTTGAAACCGAACTTTTTAAAATGTTTGATTGAGAATGTGTTTGAGTCACATTATTTTGAAAGAATGTATTTTGGAATAGTAGATTGATGGAGAATGTGTGGTTGAAAAAGAAAGAAAAATTATTCATGTAATGAAAAATATTATTTTATTGAAAAATGTGTGGTTAAAAATGAGTAGAAGAACGATAATAAAATTTTTAATGTGGATCAAAACAGGGGCTGAACTTTAAAATTTCCTTGACTTGTCATTGAACTTGACAAAATGTTCTGTCACTTGCAATTTTAAAAGTTAATTGATTAGATAGAATGCGGATGAACTAACATTTTGATAAGTTCCTAAAGTTCATTAACTTTTAAAATGGCGAGTAGCGAAGGGGTGGGATGAGATAACATTTTGTTAAGATCAGTGGCAACTCAAAGAACTTTTAAAATTCAATGACAATTAAAAAAAACATTTGGTAAAGTTCAATATCGACATTTCAAGGATGTTTTAAAGTTCAATGACAATTGAGAAACATTTGCAAAAATTCAGTGGCAATGGGGATATTTTAACCCCATTATAAAAGACAACTCTTGATTAGGTAAATTAATTTATATTTTCTCCATTCAAATTTTTTTTTTTTTTTTTTTTGAGAGGTGAATTTCCGACCTTCAATTTTTGTAGTGAGCGAGTATTCAATGATGAACTCCACCCAAAATCAACTGTAAAAGCATCACTTGCCTAGCGTCGTTACAAGATTAGTCATGGATACATTAGAAAATACAAAACCTTTGTCAAACACAAAGGATCATGTCATTGTTTTTTGCAAAATAGTAGCCGGATAGAGATATGGCTCGCCAAATGTTGGACATTAGGGCATATGCTTACTTCTAGATGTTGGGAGGCTGTTTTAACAGTCTGAGACATCAAAGTAGTACAATGTTTACCAGAATATTCGGTCTTGTTAAGCATATTAAAGCTGGCCAAAAATGTGCCAACTTACGGATAAAACTTAAATTTTAATAAAAGTTGGTGGCTAAAACTTATTTTCATTGAATTTGAAATCAACTACATTAATTATTTCCACATATTTGTTAAGTCTATTGTTTTCGTATTGAAAGATCTAAAGCAACTACATCATTAACATCCACAGCATGACATATTAGTTTCAATCTAAACCTCCGTCATGAAACATGCATACTAGGATGACGACGAACGGGAACTAAACTTTACCTAGTCTTGATGTAAACCTCCCTCTTGTACTGATCTCCCAGCTCACATTCTCTTATTTGTTGATAAGTTCGGATATTACGAGGAATATTAGCTTTATGTTCTATTTGTGTCTCCATCAGTTTATCCGGGAAAGAAAGATACTTGGATCAACATAGTGAATTCCAACACAATCAAGGAAATAGAAAACCATTTGGCCCTTTCATTTGGACAAAGTTAAGCATAAAAAGGCGCTATAAATAAATATAGAAGATAATAGGAAACTATCTCTTCAGCACTTATCAAAAATGGCCTTGAATTTTATTCAATCCCTTCTGCCTTTGCTGTTAGTTTTTGCCTTCATCAATTCAGTAGCCAGCGATCCAGACATAACCTCTGACTTCATTACACCGGCAAATTTCTCGTCTGTCAATGGAACTTTCTTCACTTTCACAGGATTCCGAGACCTTCCTGGTCCAATCCAAGGAACCCTAATGGTGACAAAGGCTAGTTTGGTCGAATTTCCAGCTTTAGATGGACAAAGTGTGTCAATGGCTGTTCTCAAATTCCCCCCGGCAGGCATCAACCCCCCGCATACCCACCCTCGCGCTACCGAGCTTCTTTTCACAGTGTCTGGAACCTTAGAAGTGGCTTTTATTGATACTAAAAACGTTCTTTACACTAAGCAAATCGAGGCTGGGGACATGTTTGTTTTTCCTAAGGGACTTGTTCATTATCAGTATAACCGAAACCATAAAAATCCTGCTATCGCCATTTCAGCTTTTGGAAGCGCAAATGCTGGCACGGTATCAGTGCCCAATTCTGTGTTTGGAACAGCAATTGATGATGAAATACTTGCCAAATCATTCAAGACTGATATTGCCACTATTCAGAAGATAAAGTCAGGATTTGCCAGCCCCTGATTTTCATATCTCTCTCTCTCTCTCTCTCTCTCTCTCGTTTGTTCTATTTTTAATTTCCTTGCAAAATAATTGAATACTTGCACTAGTTTCTTGTTCGTGTTGTCCTGTATAATTTTCTACTTTGATATATGTCTAATCATCATTTATTTTTAATGTTAGGCCCTGTTTAAGCCACTTTATTGTAGAATGAGTATGAACAATATAGCCGTTATTGGGGCCCATACAAGAGATGAAAAATTTGAATTTAAATTTTGACATGATGGATAACGGTCATATTTTCCATTTTAATGAGATAAAAAGGTGGCCCAAACAGGGGCTTAACATAATAAACCATATCAAACGTCAAATTTATCTTTTGTGTTTTCGTTGTTCAATAGGGATTTATTTTTTTTGGTGTTTTGCTGATATATCGATAACATAGATGGTATATACGTGGAAAATTAATCTAACTTGTGATTAATGTTGAAGCAGGAATATTCTAGAGAGAGCATCAATCTTTGAGAAGATTTTTTATTTTGTGCTGAGCTATAAATTAATTCTGTTATTTTAAGTTAGTGGATAGGGAAGATTATAGTGATTCTTTTTGTGTATATATAGTCCTTTTCTAGTTGTAATTGGAACAACTTTCACGGTAATTCATTTGAATGAAGAAAAGTTTCCTTCTCTCCATGGCCTGATTCACATATTTCTTCTCATTCACATTTCTTTTGATTTCTTACATGGTTTCAGAGAAGTAAACCTCCATTTCAATGGCTTCCCAACCAACTGATGTTGAAAACCATAGAACTAATTCCCATTCCCATAACTCTACAAACCCAGATCAAAACACTGAGATTAACCAAGAAATTTCTTCTCGTTTCCTCAATTTCACCGACCGTACCAATCCTTACTGATTGGAGAATGGAGACAGTCCTGGAGTGACTCTCGTCACTGACCCACTCACCACAGACAACTATGTAACCTGGTCACGTGCAATGCGTCGAGCACTAGCAAAAAATAAATTTGAGTTTTATTAATGGGGGTATTGAGAAGCCGACTAATCCCAATGATCCTTTGTTTGATGTCTGGGAGCGATGTAACGATATGACCTTTTCTTGGATTCAAAACTCCATAAGCACTACTATCAAATCTAGTGTTGTGTTTGTAGATGATGCTCAAGAAATCTGGTTGGAGTTGAGGGATCGTTTTTCCCAGTGAAACGAACCTCAGATATTCCAGCTCAAGAAAGCACTGGCTGGCCTGTTGCAAGAAAATGATTCAATGAGTATTAATTATGGGAAATTGAAAACAATATGGGATGAATTATCCATTTATGATCATATCCCATCTTATGAGTGTGGTAAACTGAAAACACTTCTAGATCGATATCAAAGGGATTGTGTTATGCAATTTCTAATGGGATTGAGTGAAAAATATGCAAATGTTAGAGACCAAATCATGCTCACCGACCCCCTACTTCCTGTTAATAAGGTTTTTTTCCTCATTCAACAACAGGAACATCAGAACCAAATGACCTCTCATGCTCTTGCACCTGATCTTATGGCTTTGGCTACCAAATCCAACTACCAAACCTATAAACCCAATAATTTTAAACCCCCTTCTAATCAGAAGAGAGAGAAACCTTATTGTTCCCACTGCAAGATTCAAGGGCATCCTTTGGAGAGCTGTTTTAAAGCTGGCAATGCTGAGCCACCCATTTGCACTCATTGTAATATGATTGGTCACATGGTTAACAAATGCTATCGACTTCATGGGTACCCTCCAGGGCATAAGCTGTACAAGGCCAAAGGTGTTAGTTATTTGGCAAATAGTTCGAGTCTTTATGTTGCTTCTAACCAGGAGAAGGAAAGTGAGAGCATAGTAGAGTTAACAAATGGCCAATATCAACAACTAATGGCCCTGCTACAGAACAAGGACTTCACAATTGCTTCTTCTCTGTCAATCATGCTCGGACTCTTCCCAAGTCATCTGCCACTAATCCTAAAGCGTCTACTATCTCTGGTATATCCACTAGTCTTTCCACTGTCACATATAGATCACCTTATCCACAAACATTCCTTGGATAATTGACTCGGGGAGCTACAAACCATATGATTTATTGTATTTCCTTTTTTAGTACTATCACTGCTGAAGTATCTTATACTATGAAATTACTAAATGGGAATCTCGTTCAAGTTACTCATCTGGGTATTGTCAATAGACAGTATTGTTTTGACCAATGTCTTGTGTGTTCCTTCATTTTCCTTTAATCTTATCTCCACCAGAAAGTTGACACAATCTTTCACATGTTGCCTTGTTTTTCTGTCCAATACTTGCTTTATTCTGGACCTTTCCACTTGGACCACAATTCGGATGGGTAGATCACACAATGACCTTTATCATCTGCTGACAAAAGATGTCCCTCATTTAGCTCTTGACGAAGCCCTTCCTCAATTTACTCAACAGAACTCCATTATTTCTTCTTTTGTTATTAATAGTAGT